CATATTTATTTTCAGTCGCTGTTTTCACGACAGCCTGCCCCCTGAAATCTTCCCGTGTTGCTCATTAACAGACAGTTTGCCCCTCACAGTGTGAAGTTGTGCAGGAGGAGGGCGATCTCAGGAGACAAGACATTCTGAAAAAGACGCAGCGGAAATCTAAGATAGTGGACAAAGCGTCACAGATAATATGATTTTAAGTTTTTGTCTATTTGTTAATTCTACTTGTTAATCGATGCATTCAAGGTTTCCACAAACGAGTAGAGCGACAGTGATGATGATGATGATGGTTTGTATTTGGATGATGATGATATTTAGGATAGTTTTGATGCTGATCAGAACTCTAAAGAGCAGCTGTTCATGTAGTTGTTGGTGACGATATATTAACTTTATTATAATAAAAAAAGGTGCTTTGCCTCTGCTCACTTCCTGTCAGCACCTGTGTGTCCGATCAGACATAAAGCTGTTTGTTTGCTCTTCCTGTCGTTGTTTCCTCCTCTCTAGATCCTCGCTTGTCTTGTTCTTACTCTCTGATGTTCGTAGCCTTGGGATAAAAGCGTCTGCTAAATGAAGTGTAGGATTGTAGAGAAGAACATACTGGTGAGCAGAAAAGTAGCTTCAGTACGTTGCACAACGATCACACCAGCATCCATTTATTCTTTCTTCATCTCCGTCTGGTTCTCAACTGCTTTAGCCTCAGGACCCAAAACCAAATCCTTAAAGAGAAATTGTGACCCAAATTTTAAACTTTTTTTTACCAGTAAAATGTATTTATTGAAAATTGTGCAGTTCCGACCTCAGATGGTTTATGAAGCACTTTATAGATTTTTTTGACACCATTTATTTTTCCCAGGCACACATTTGTGACCCGCTGAAAACGGCTTAGCGACCCACTTTCCAAACCCAACACAGACGCATTAGATGGCTGTTCAACATGAGTCCGGTTCTGCTCGAGGTTGGATCAATGTCGGGTCTTTGAGTCATTTCCTCACTGTTATGTACGCAGATACAAAAAGAACATGACATTCGGTACCTTGAATCTTGAACACAGAGTGAAAGTAAATTACAAGTTGACAAGTTTTGACCTCCTGCTTTCTGTGTGACTGAAAACTTTTTTGTCATCAGCTTCTGAAAAGCAAAGAAAAGCTTGTTAGGGATGTACTTCAAACTTAATTTAGTTCTGAAACTTCAACAAGTGGATTGATGATTAAATTGTCCTCTGGGTTAAATGAGCTGCATTGTTGTTTGAATCGTTTGCCTTTTTTTTCGTTCCAATTGAAAGTCTTTCTTTTCAGACTGTAATTGGCATAACAGTAGAAGTCGAACGGGACAAGCTTAGCCTCAAAGTGGCCCCGATGCTTCATTAATTGACATCAAGGTAATCTGATGAATACAAAGCAGACACACACTCACTCCCCTTCCCACACACTCAGAGCAGATGTTTCACGTAATGGGAGCACAACAGGAAGAGAATTCAATTCAATTTAGCCTGAGGTCTAATAGGACATCAAGTGGAAGGCGATAGGGTTTCACAGTGGAAGCCCATCTGTGTCCGCGCTCCGCTTTCAAACCCAACCTACCGCTGATGTTGTTAAGACTGAGATGAGACAAGAGCACCCTGATGCATCGTAGGCTGTAATCACCTTCTCAGATGACACCGTGAGGCCTCGGGGGTTGAGTGGAAAGGGGCCGAGGTTTGTTTTTGTCTGATGGCTTTCAATGCGTGTATTGTCATTGTACAGTTTCATTGCATTTATAAGGGGATTAGGAGATTCCCCCGGGCAGCAGCCAGATGACCTTCAGGCAAAACATGAGAGTGCACTCTCAGATCGAGTGTCTCTGCTGGAATGCTCCGTGTTCAAGCAAACGCTAAACCCATGAAGAAGGACTTTTCACACATGCACAAAAACTCCTGAAATGTTCCTGAATGTTTGGGGGTGAGCTGGAGAAGAAATCTTCAGGGAAATGAATTGCGAGCGACTGGAGGGGGATGATGTAGGGCTTTCACACATGCAGAAAACTCCTGAAAAAACTCCTGATATTTCCAGGAGGAGCTGTATGTGTGAACGCAAACAGTCGGACTTGACCCGAAGTTTCTCCTGCCAGCCTCTTGGTATTTTTTCCGCAGCAAGTCTGAGTGGGGCTGATGTGAGAACACAGCAGGATATTCTCCGGAGAATTCAGCTCGAGCGAATGAGGGGTTGAGTGACTAATACTTTTCATAATTGCGTCGTATAGCGGACTTCTCTTTAATGTCATGTCTTACCTCGGTAGACCCCCCCCCCCCCCCCCCCCCCATCTGACAGGGATAGTCAGATGGAGCATATATGAACAGATAGCTCAGGAGAATATCCGCAGCAGTCCTTTCAGGAGTGTTTATGAGAAAACGTTAATAGCGAAAAACATTTTTAAAGATTTATTTTGGGGCGTTTTGTGCCTTTATTGCAGAGGTAGGACAGTGGACAGAGTCAGAAATAAGGGAGAAAGAGAGAGTGGAATGACATGCGGGAAAGGAGCCACAGGTTGGATTCATACCTGGGCTGCCCTCTTGGAGGACTACAGCCTCCATACACGGGGCGCGCACACTTAACCAATGCGCCACCAGCGCCCTGGTGTCCACTGTTTTGTGCACCAAAAATTGGCTAAACTAAATTTAATTAGATATCATGCAAATCTTCAAATGAGGATTGGTGCGTTCCAGTTGATCTTGTAAGTGGGAAATTCCCAGTTCCCTGAAGTCGTAATTATGACTCGGAAACTCGGAGTAAAAAAATAATCCCGAGTTCAGCTCCTATATGGCTGTTACATGCATCCTAAGGGATGTTTAAGATGCAACTGTTGAGTGTATTAGCAGTTTACTCGTCTTTTTATGTAATTAAATCGATCAGACCGATGGTATCGTGCAAGTTCTCTCTGTGGAGGTGTATTCATGTTATTTTCGGTCAGAAACGATCACGTAGTGTGTTGTTATTGTCTGGTATTAGCTAACAAAACGAAGGTACTCCTGGAGGCGTCCATGTTGCTTTTCCGACTTGCAACTGGAACGCAGTTAACTTCGGGTGTGGCGTCATTCCCAGTTCCGACTTTCGACTTCCGAGGTAAATGGAACGCAGCCTTAGTACAAATGCCATTTAAATCATATTGAGAATGATGACCACTGTTTGTAATGTCACATTATATTCATCTCATAACAAATGTATTGATGCAACAAGTCAGCACCAACACTTTATGGACATTTATGACAAATGTTTCATTTCATTTGTATCCTTTCAGTCACTAAAGTAACCCCCCCCACCCCCCCCACCCCCGTTCACCTACTCTCTTCTCCTATTGCATCCTGTTTGAGTCAGTCCAGCAGGTAGCTTCTATTGCACATCACTAATGACACAAACAGTCACATCATTGTGTTGTTATCGGCTTGCACACGCTCAAATAATCTCAGCAAGCTGTTTGGAGTCGCAGTTATATCGGAAGTTCCCTGAAGTGGACCTGCAGCCTCGCCGTGTTTAAATGAACAGATGCAGGAGAGAGAATCAGTCGACTGTACCGAGTGTCGACAAAAAAACAAAAACAAATTACCATTTTAAAAAACAGCAGCAGCAAGCTGGAAAACCGTTTTGTTGTTGGGGCTGTTTGTTTGGCCAGCAGCAGGTGCTTCTGAAGCACACACAGAGACACATTAACTTTAAGAGGTCTTGCTCAAGGATACCTCGACAGTATTGTTTTTGGAGGCAGGGGAGAACATTTTCGTTTTGAAAGTCCCAGCAGGGGGTTTTTCGGGGGGGTAATCAAGGTTTCATTTGAGCTCTGGGCGACTGCTGCCTCAAGACAGCTACCTACATCAAACAGAAATAAAATCAAATTCAGCTTTAAGCGGTCGTGTGGAAAAAGTAAAGGACGCCTCTTCGATATTAGTATTGGCAAGCGTACAAGGTGTAAATATATCCTCATATGTGAGGCCAATATTCTATCCTTTTCCCGAGGCCCAGGATCGGTATTAGACGCTCTAAATTTGTAATGGCGGCCAATGGTGGCTGCAAAAAATACAGTCAAACGTGTGCGGGATGGTGGCTCTTACGTTTTGGGACCCGGGAGGATGAAGCAGATGGCGTCCTGGTGCAGGAGCCCTTAAGGGAACTTTGTGGGTTTGTTGTTGTTGCATATTTGTTGCTTTTAAATGGTGATCGAGGCAACAGCACAAACACACACACACATACACACACACACACACACACACACACACACACATTCCAGTGAGGTGCAGAGAAGAAGCCTTTGGTCGATAAACACTAGACAGCCTCTTAAGTAGCTTCTCTCATCACTATAGTTCCTGCAGCCTTCTCTATGGCGACGACTGCTCATTTGTAAGTGCGGGATGTTTCCCCCCCCGGCTGTGGCTTCATCTTTTGTTGCCCCCACTGTTTGCCATTCAGTTTACGGGCCCACACACACACACACACTCACAAGTGCACACACACACACTCACACATCCATGGATCCCTCTCTCTTTTATTATGGGAATTCCAAGCACATGTGAGTGCAGCCCAGATTCCCCTCCCCCAAACTATACCGGCCGGTACCCCCCCCCCCCTTTCATCTCATGGTTTTCTCAGGGGGGGCTAAAAAGCAGACGAAATGGGGCAGGAGGGGGAGGAGGAGAAGGGGAAAAAGAGGAGGAGAAAGAAGGGAGAGCCAGGCTAATTCATCAATAATCTTTGCTTAATCCCTCCCTCTTTTCCTTCTTCTCACTCTCACACTCTCTCTCCCTCTCTCTCTCTCCCTCTCTCTCTCTCTCTCTCTCTCTCGATGCCTAGAGGCATTCAAGCAATACATCCATCCCCCCGCCCCACCTCACACACACACACACACACACATCCAGCCCCCTATACACACACACACACTTGCGAGTCTGCCTGAACACGTCCAGAGGGAGAGGATGAATCGAGCTGGAGAGTCCTTTTCGCCTCCATGTGCGCGTCGCTGTGTGTGAGTGTGTGAGTGTGAGTGTGTGAGTGTGGGAGTGTGTGTGTGTGAGTGTGTGTGTGTGTGTGAGTGGAGTCCTCCGAGGGTTTGTGTGTCTTCGGGAGCTGAAATGGTGATTATAGACTAGAGAGAGAGAGACTAAGGTGTGGCAAGACGGGGGCGGCGTCACAGGCTTTTTGTCTATAGTTCCCGTACAGCCCACCAGCCGGGGAGGAGGCTCAGCCAGTGTCTATCAGAGAGAGAGTGTGTGTGTGGGGGTGTGTGTGTGTGTGTGTGTGTGTCCCGGAGCCATGCATGCACACAGTCTGGGGGATTGAAAGAGCCGCTGCGTGAGGTTGAACTATACTATACTCTCGAAACCAGGACCTGAACTAAAGGGGGGGAAACGAAGACGAGCACAAGTTCAAGAAGCTCCGTGGATCCTTTTGTAGACAGGAAGGACAAAAACCACACAGGAGGAACGACCAAGTGGAGCGCTGCTGGAGCACATTCTCTTCCTCATTCATTCTTCTTTTTTAGCAACTCATTACAGAGAGAAAGCAGAAAACGGAGCACCAGAACTTGTGCGGAGTGCCCACTGAGGAACATAAAACCTTTTCAAGAGGATTTCCTTTTTTTTCAGATTTTTAAAGGATGCCATTTCAATGACAAAACCTTTTGGAATATGGGACTTTTAATCTATGATTTGGACCATGGGGACAGGCATCTCTGTTTTTGTGCTCAGCTCTGGGTAATTCTGATAAGTATGTCACATTTCTTCTGTTTCTTCAATAGCTGTTAGTAACTTAGAGGTGTTGTTTCTCTCAACAAGTGCGCTGCAGAATCGTCAGATACAAAAACAAACTCTTGTTGGTGGTCTTGTTTTTGAGTGTTACCTTCATGTTCCTTCTCTTGTTGTTGTTGTTTTACTAAGATTGTTGAGTCTTGGGAGTTTAACTCTTCAAACTGTTGAATTGCCAAACACCTACTGGCTGATTGATTGAAGGTGTTGTTAATTCCCGGGATAAAGATCAACCGTCTGCCACCAACACGTTTTCCTCTGTGCTCTGGATGCTTGACATGTATTGACCAGTTATCATGTAATTAGCCTGAGTTGACCTTCTCTTTCTTTTTTGTCTCTACATGGCTGAGTAGACAGCAGACCTCTCCTCCTCACTTCCTGCTTTTATCTCATTCATTCACATCACTTTTGTCCCTCTCTCTTCTTCTGTTCTTCTTCTGTTAACTATTCAAAATGTGTAATTCCTTCTTCTTCTTTTTCCACAGCTCTTGCAGGTAAAGTCTCTCCAACCAGCTCCGATGCCCTCCTCAGCTCCTCGGCGATGACGGCCAGCCCGTCGCCACCCAACGTGTATCTCCCCGCCAACTTCAAAATGTCCAATGCACAACTGGCCTTCTTCTTGCGGGAGGCTCAGATCACAGGACAAACAGTTGGCGGCGGCGGCAGGAGCGGCGGTGGTAGTGGCAGCAGCAGCAGCCCCAGCACGGGACACCCGCTGCAGCGCTCAGAGAGTTTTGTGGTTTTCCAGACAAAAGACCTGCCCGCCATCAACATCAGCTTCGGGCCCTTCGCTCAGGACCAGGCCGTGTCTAAGGAGTTGCTGCAGCCAGCCAGTCCTCTGGATATCCCCGGGCAGCTGACGGTCAACTGGAAGGTGCGCGCCTTCATTGTCCAGGCCCGGGTCTTCTCCAACAACCCCACCGTCCAGGTGTTCTTCTACATCGCCGGCCGGGACTGGGACGATTTCAAAGCGCAGGACAAGCTGCCCTGCGTCCGGCTGCACGCCTTCAGGGACGTCCGGGAGATCAAAACCTCCTGCCGCATGAAAGGCAACCTCGCTCAGTGCTTGGCCCAGCTGGATCTGCCTCCGTCCTGGTTTAACACCAACGTGGCCCCGCTGGGTCGGAGGAAAGGCTCCAGTGACGGGCTCCTGGACGGGCTGACGAGTGAGACCCTGCAGGCCGAGCTCTACTACACCCTGCACGGGCCTAATCCGGACGGGGAGTGCAGCGAGGGCTCTGGTCATCGGGGTGCTGGTGGTGGTGCTTCTTCTCGGGGAGAGCCTCTGTCACAGCACCCTCTGCTGCGCATCGGGAGCATCAGCCTCTACCAGGCCAGTCAGGAGCAGCTGCTGGTGGACAAGCAGCTGGACAAGAACATGTTCCTCAGGCTGCCCGAGAAACCCCTTAAGCCCGGGGAGACCCTCACAATCTTCCTCTACCTGATGCCCAACTCCACGGTGGAACAATTCAGCCTCAAGTAAGTCTGCCTTCAGATGTGATGACAAACCGTGTTGTTCTGATTGCTTCCATATTCAGCCTGAATTGCCACATTTAATGCGTTTATATTCACACATTTACCCCTTGGAGAAAACCATGATCAAGTTGTTTACATGCACAGCAGAAGCTCATTCTGTGACTGTTTCTGTTTCCCTGCAATCATTTACACAAAAATTATCCAAGAAAGAGATTATTTGCCTTCTTTCCCGGCAGATCTCTGCAAACATTTGTCATATCCATGTTGTCACAAACTGCACTCTTATGTCTCTTCCTTATGATTACGCACACACATAATTGTCTTGTAATGTGTCCAAGGTTCAGTTCTTCAGGCTGTAAAGGCTGTGTGTACACAGTGTGAATGCTGCATCTTGGGAGGTCCCCAGTGGGCCCAGCTTATAAGAAAATATAGGATTTACATGTCCATACAGCCCCTCCATTAACAGAACAATTATCCCAGCTCTTCTGAATGTCTCCATTACAGAACCTGCTAATCATCCCATTCTAAGCAGCGTAATTAGATAAAGGTTTTTACATAACCTCGGAATTAATTGCAGCGTTTTTATGAAGGCTAAAGGATCACGGTGTGCATGTAAGTGTGGCCCAACGTTATGAAATTCTAAACCATGCAGTATTCTTCTTCTTCTTCTCGGGCTGAACCGAGACGGCACAGCACACGAGATGCTACGCCGTTTATGTTCTTTTTTTTTTTAGGACTTTTAAGAGCCAAACGAGCATGTAATCACATATTTCATACTTCCCATTAATTTCTCCCTCCCTGAGCCCGAGTGATGTGCCAGGAGTAATTAAATTGGGGGTGAGATAAAAGGGAGAAGACAGGGTTAAACTGTTAGCAGACTGCCAGGTTCACCTTTTTTGAAGTGGTGGCTTAACATCCAGAGATGTCTTCTTTTTTTATTCTCACAGGAGCAGGATGGTATGAATAATGTGCAGTGAACTGCTGCTCAAAGCAGATTGTGTTTAAAAAGCACGAGGCTTGCTGTGTTTGAGCAGGGACTTGGTGGTGGATCACTTTCTTTAAAAAGCCTCGATGCAGCCATGCTGAGGTATCTGAGGCCTGTGCACGGTTTACTGTGGGAGAGAATAGATGCTGAATGTACCACCAATCAAATAATCTGTTTGTTTTTTTTTAACCAAAGATATTTCTCTAAATGCCAGAAATGCTAGCTACGTTTAATTTTCAACAAAATATTTCATCTTTACAGTAATGGTGCTCATTCCTAAAGGGGGAGCAAAACATAGTTTCAAGGCTTAGTCTCCCTTCAGCATGGTCC